CGATTACTAGTTTGCAAGTAAGGTTTTTTTTTTTTTCTATTAAAAAAGTAGGTACAATAAAGTAACGCATTAGTGGCATCACTGCTGCTTCAAGAATAAAAAAAAAAGGTCAGTCATTAAAATCTTGAAATATACTGTCATGGTCACATTGTGGAAAAGGTATTGATACAACTACAATCTCCCCAAATTATCATGTAAAGTCTTTCCATGCATATAGATGTGTGAACCTGGACATTTGCTGGCTGTGCTCCAAAACTGCAACATTTCCTTTTCCTCCCTCTCCCCCCAAAAAACATCTTGCAGTCATTATTCATGCCATTACAAAAAAATATTTATACAAACAAACAGCATTATCTTAAAAATGCTTTAGAACGAAAATCACTTCAAGCAGAAAACATGCAAAAAAAAAAAAAAAACAGACACAGCAAGCAACACACAAAAGTAAAAAACATGCTGGATTATTAAAAGAAATAAATGAATTAGCGTCTGGTCTTAGTGTAGACAGACGTGTAAAAAGGGTCCACTTTAGGACAGAACCTCCTGGTGTGGGCTTTGGCCCCCGTGGCGCCACACTGAGGACACACATACTGCCTCAGGTAGGGACACACAACCTCCCCTGCCTGGTTCTTCAGCCAGTGGGATCCGTAAATCAGCAAGGATTCACCGTTATGTTTGCAGAAGCTGCAGAACATGCGCGCTGGAGGAGGAGGAGGAGGATGGCGCTCTGCAGGCGGCTGTGGAGCTGGAGCCCCGCAACGAGACGCAGTCTTCTTTCGGTCCTTGGGGCGCCGCCTGACGCGATTCATCGTCGGTGTCTGGAGGGAATTGGTGCCGGCTGATTCCGGTGCGACCTGTGGATTCCGAGCAGCAGGAGAGGACTCCCTGTCCACGAGTTCATTCACGCTTAACGACATTAAACCCCGGCTGAAATGTTCAGACTGGGACTGACGCGCTTCGTCCTCTTCAGGGGAGTTTAGATCCAGAATCTTTCTGATCGACTCTGCAAGACCCATTTCTCTCAAGGGTTGGAAGGGGCTGTTGCTTTTTGGCTCCATGACGCCTGCTCGGTGCCATTTATTCTCTCTCCAACCGGGTTATGAGTTCCAGACCACCGAGGTTTTGTTTTTATTTTCCAGGAGGTTCAAAGAAAGCAACAGGTTGAGCACAGACTGCTCTGATTAAGAACAAGCAGAGCAACCAATCAGGTGAACTCTTGGCCGACACGTGCATTTCAGTATCTTCCAATAAAACAACTACTTTTTTTTCTTTATTTAGAAATGTGAAAATTATGGAAGAGGATTCGGCCCACTGAAAAAATTAAAAAAGTTAACTGATTTTTAAATTTTATTTCAGTATAATAATTAGTACAATAATCTAAACATTCTGACTTTTTGTCTAAAAATTCTGACTTTTATCTCAGAATTCTGACTCAAACAACTCACAACTTTGTCAGTTACTCCCACATCTCTTCCTTCATAATGTCCATCTACATTAAGGTCCAAAATTCTGAGCTTAAAGTCAGAATTCTGAGGGGAAAAAATGTCAGAATTCTGACTTTTAAGTCTGACTTTTAAGTCAGAATTCTGAGAGAAAAGTCAGAATTCTAAAAAAAAGTCTGAATTCTGACTTTTTTCCCATATCAAACTGAAATAATATTTAAAAATCTGTTAACTTAATCCCCGTCCATAGAAAATAGAATAGAGGATACATTTTTAAACAGAAAAAATTACAAGAAAAAAAAACAACAACAAAAAAAACACCACAAGGAACATAAAAGACAAGGGTAAAATATACCACTAAATATACAATGACATCCATAAAAATGAAATGAAATTGGAAAAAAACATGCAAGTTACACAAATGAATTGTTCACTGCAAATCTGTTTTCATGGCCTTTTTGTTATACAAGTCAGATATTAGGTCAAGATACAGTTTAACATCCATTATTAAGAGGTTAAAAAGGGCTCTTGTGCATTATTTTACTGTGGTGGATATTAAACTTGCCAAGAAACAATGTAGGAACCATAAATGAAAAGATACTTTGATGTTTGTCTGGGGTTATACCCGTTACGGTTTTGTTTTTGTTTGTTTGCAGGGAAATGGGTTAACTAGATGTGGGCAGAGATTTCGAATTGGGCATTTTACTCACCTGTTGGAGTGTCACTCCAGATAGTGGGTGAATGTTTCAGAAATGTTTTATGGGGTGGCCAGATGGGGCCACTAGAAATCGTGGGGTGGCATACTGAAACCAAAAGCCCTAATTTCAGGGTTTGAATCTACTATTGTGGTAAACCTGCCTGTAGAACTATGATAAAGACTTAAGTAAACATTCATATCTTGGTTTATTGTGTGTAATTTTTTATTATTAAAGTTGCTAAAGATCTACTATGGAGGTCTTCAACAGGGGGTCCACAACTCCTAGGGGGTCCACGGAGGTACTGCATGGGGGTTGCGAAAGTTTTGGTTGATTAGACTTTTTTTTTTTTTTATATTCCCCCCTGCAATTTTTTCCACTAATTAAATGTATTTAACATGAATTTAACACACTGTAGTAAACGGATAAATGGAGGCAGAAGATGTCCATCAGTCATCAATGCACACATTCAGCGAAACACAGGAGCTCTTTCAAGCTGGGCACCGTTTCCTTCACAACACCTGTCCCATCATCGAGGAATCAGATTAAGAAATACTTTAATAATCCCAGGGGGAAATTACTTTCCTTACATGACTCAATCTGTAATAGAGTGACTATAGGACCAGTTTGATATAAAAAAAATTTCATACAATATATATAATTAGGGGGTCCCCACTCCATCTTGCCATCAGTTTGGGGGTCCTTGACCTGGAAAAACGTTGAAGACCCCTGAAGTTATATGTGTAGATACAGACCAGTTAACATTTTCGGTTAAACAGTAATTGCTTTTTCTGATTCACTTTTTCTCTGTTGAAAGCAAGCATGAGCTGAGCTGTAGTTGTTTGAGCACGCAAGAGCTGAAAGGAGGGGGAGGAAGACAGGGGCAAGCAGGCTACAGTGTGCAAATACTACTCCCCTAAAAATGGGGAGGTATAATAAGAGTGAAAAGAGTTGATTCCTCAGCGAGAATTTAAATCATTAACATTTTTACAACAATAAACAGTTAATAAAAATTTACAGTAAAAAAAATGGCAGGTATAGAGCGTGCACATATTTCACTAATATAGCATTCACCTGAGGTATAATCCCTACAACAAGCAACAAATCCTCTGAGATTAACATTGAAACCTTAAACAGCAAAAAAAAAATAGCTTTGGTCCATAAACACATAACCCTTTCCTCACACATTAGAAAATCAACCTTATTCTTCAGTCAACACAAAATAGTAATGTAATGATACTTACAAAATCAAAGTGCGTGAAACCTCTGAAATGAGTGGAAAAAATATACCACCATGTGCATCTATGTATTGTTGCAGTTGAAACAAAAAGGCGACGCACACTACAACTATGAGTTGGTCGTTGCATTTTAGCAGGGAGCACCTTACTACACTCGGTAAAACATTGTTCTGAACCATTTAAAATATCCCCAAAACACATTTGACATCACTTCTACATGTTTGGGATTACTACAATCATGCTAATGTTTAACAGCAACAACATACCTGAAAATAAGGATGAATAATGAGTGAGGAGAGACGTTTCCTCAGCAAGAACCTTTACTCTAATGAGGAAAAGACCAATTAAGATCACCTCGTAAATTGTAAACTCACACTTCTTAACCACAAATTGCACAAATCAGGAAGAGACTGGTGAGTGGGGTGGACAGGGTACTGTATGGGGTGGCGCCTCTGTGAGTGTATGGCTGTATATGTATTATTTGTTGAAAACTATACAATTCACTTTGATTTACGTTTGTCCAGTTAAATTTTGAATACATTATAGTATGTCGTTTATTCTTTTTCCGATAATAAAGTTCACACTTCAGCACCGTTTTGATCTCAGTGGATCCTTTTTATAACGAGCGAGTCAGGCAGCTTTTTTTGTTTCCTGAAGTTGCTGCAATAAACAAGATCAGGTTAATAAGGAATGCAGCAGAGGGGTCTTTTGTTTTGGAATCTGTGACACCAAAAAAAAATTTTTCAAAATAGAGGGAAACCTGGTGGAATATTAGATAGTGAGAATGTCCTTCCAAAAGCTCTGGGAGCTTGCACATTTCCAAAACCAATGAAAGGAAGTTTCCGGATAGGAGCAGTAAATATGAACTGCTTTGCATTTCTGAAGAAAAATGTTTGGTTGGATAAAATGTATGAATTCAATTGAAAGGGACTTCTTTGATTTTATTAGTAAGAAAATCTATCTGGAAGAGACCAGATTTCCTAATTAAGATTCTGTACATATGTGTTCCAGAAAGAAACACAGGATGGGGAAGATACTAGATTTTCGTGAAACATAGTGTGAATGTTGGAGTTAAGATTTATATTTGAGTTGAAAAACAGAGCTTACCAACAGCAGAGTGTTTGAAGTCAGGAGGACTCAGAGACTAGATAGAAGAGAGGTCAATGCTTTTAAACAAGAGTAAACCAGATGGAATAGCATCAAATACAATGCTGTATGCTATTGGGGTGACGGGAACCTTGTACCGAATGAGAAATTCTTCAAAGCTACAAGGATGACCTCTGTTATTTAATAGTTGATAAACTTGGACAATACCATAGTTGAACCATATCTGCAATAATATTAACCTGGTTATGTATAATATATTGGAATTGTTCCAAATGAAACATATCTGACAAGAAAAGTTGTGTATATAAATGAGAGACCATGCTGAAAATACCTCTTGGTGGAAGTTGGAGAGTTTAGTGGGTATTTTTGGAATACGACAATTACTGAGGAGAAGAAACTCTAGGTGAGAAAAGGCATGTTGTGAAATAAAATAGGGTTTTACAATAGTTTTTTTTAATCCATTTTATTTTAAAGGAATTATTAAATTAGTCAAAACAGTAAAATATAGGCCTCCAGCTTTATCACAGTTTAAGATGACAGATTAGTGCAAATAATGTTTTGTTTTTTTTCCCATAAGAAGTCAGGCAACATTTTGTTAGCAGATTTACAAACTAAATTATCCACAAAGAGACTGGGAGGCGTAGAATAGAAGGGATAAACCTTTCGCCCTTAGCGAGCAGAACTGTACCTTTTAGGGACGGATCTCTTTGTTACCAGCTTGAACCCAGTGAATACTCCTTTTACATTAGAGAGTCTTAGTTGTAGAACCTCAACAGGATCAATTGAATTATGTTAGAACGACCACAGCAAGAGAAAAATTGTTTCATATATCACTGAATAAAAAAAAATATCAGTTGGCAGCATGCAGTGAGTAACTGGTTTAAATAAAATCTTTTATTAAAGTAGTTTAAAAAAAAAAATACAAAATTGAAGACAAGATATATTCTTTAAGTACAGCAGTGAAAATAGATTGTACTAAAATGACCAGTCCAAATATGAAGGCCAGGGTGTGCGCAGTCTCCTGCCTGACCCAACTTCACACATCTCAGAGTGGTGGTCATTTCCTCTAGACCTAAAAAAAGATAAAAATTTAGCTTAATAGCATCAGATGCAATGCCCTGATCTCATTCAGGTGGTTATGAAAATAACCATTTCAATCCTTGAAGAAATACTTACCCTTTAAATAAACGTTTATTGCTGATAAACTGAATAACAGATGTATTTATATGGCACCTTTATCAGTGGGGTGACTCCAAAGCTCTTCAAAGTATGGTCAGTCAGTCACATCCGCACTGGGCTACATTTTAGCCACAGCTACCCTGGGACACACTGACAGAAGCAAGGCTGCTGCACACAGAGGCCACCTGGTCCTCTGACCACCACCAGTAGGCAGGGCCATTACAAGGATGTATCATTATCCTGTGCTTTTTGTACAGACAAAGGCTGTCCTCATTAGACAGCATCTATACACACACACACACGTGATACACCATATGAAGGAAGGCCACCCACCCCATCTAATCTGGCTAACAAATACACAGGACTAATAATAATCCACACAAACTCGTTCTACCATTGTAGTGAGGACCATGTGTTTACTCCCATTGATTTTCAGTCATTTTCAAGCCTTTCTATGCCCCAACCCTAAAACTAACCATTAGCAATGCACACTCACCCTAACCAATTGACACCTTAGCCCTAAACCTAACCATTAACAAAGTAGCATGTGAGGACCGGCAAAATGTCCTCACTTTGCAACAACTAGTTCTCAATTTGATGGTTAAATTGGAAAAATGGTCCTCACTCTGAGGCTAGTCAGGTACACACACATACACAAACTGTCCACTTAGGAAACTGATTAACAATAAATTTCACATGCTGTTGTACAAATGGAATAGATAACAGATGTGAAATTGACAAGACGTACTCAAGGAATGGTTCTGCAGGTGGGGACCACAGGCAACTTTTCGGTCTTATGCTTTCTGGCCGATGTTCTGAAGACACGTGTTGGTGGTGAGATGAACTCCGAAATCCATAAAAGTGGCTCAGGTACTGCAGCTCATCAAGCATGGCACATCAATATGAGCTGTGGCAAGGTTTGCCGCGTCTGTCAAGGTAGTGTCCAGAAGTGCTACTTGGACACAGGCCAGTACACCAGGAGACATGGAGGAGGCTTTAGGAGGGGAACAACCCAGCAACAGGACTGCTACCTCTGTCCTGGTGCATTGAGGAACAGGAGGAGCACTGCCAGACCCCTGAAAAAAAATGACCTGCACCAGGCCGTAAATGTGCACGTGTCTGCACAAACGCTTAGAAACTAACTCCATTAAAAGGGGTTACTGCTGTACTCGTTTCTAGTGACTTGACCAAGGATGTGATGTAAATTAGGAGAATTGATGTCAGTAGCTCTACCCTGTTCAGCAGTGGTTCGCTTGGGAAAAAAAACAAAACAATTACGATTACCTCCAATTCTGCACTGCGTCTAGTCTTCAATTAAAATTATATTCAGTACATTCACTAAGCACAAGGACAGCATCACTAATCATTTTAGGCACAAAAATCCGATGAAAGGATAGTCGTGTATTAGAATGGACTAAAGAAAGTCGAGACTTAAATCCCAACTGTGAATCTATGGTAGTTAAAAAGATGTTAATAAAGCCTTTCCAACCAGGATGACTGAGCAAAGATAAAAACCAAAAATAGTCCAGACAAGTTTTGTCCTTTGATATCTTTTGGATACTTATGATGCGTAACAACAGCAACCACAGAAAGTTCTTTTCTTTTACACCCAGGAGCAGTTATTTAACAATTCTGAAGTTGAAATAATACTTTAACAATTTCGTCCATCAATCTTCATGGGCAATGTGAGATCTTTAGGAAACAAGTTGGAAGAACTCCAAGCCCTAGCAAGGGCCAAGCCAGAATATCAGCAAAGTGCTTTAATGTAACGTGGCTGCAGGATCTTATCTCCAACTCAAGCGTCTCTCTGCCAGCCTTTCTGACCATACAAGCAGAAAGGGATTTAAAAGGAGACTGGGAAATTCAAAGGAGGTGGGTTAGCAGTGTTTGTGAACACTCTGTTTCGTTTAAAAAAAATATAAACATAAAAAATATAACCTCGGATGTCTGGGGGACAGTGATTAGCCTACATGTTATGAATGCTGGAGTACCATTAAGAATAAATTATGAATATGGGCCAATTGGAGCAAATGCGCACTCGTGACGTCACCACATGCTCAGCTCGTCTTGAGCTGCATTTCACCTCCTATTAATGCTCTCTAGATAAATTATTTTTTGATTTATTGGGGGGATTATGAACAAAGTCAGATAAACACAAATCAAATTAACATTTTGCCAAGTCAATCCATTCAATTTCCATCATGCTTATCCCAAGTGGGGTCGTGAGGGGTGCTGGTGCCCATCTCCAGCCGTCTGTGGACGAGAGGCAAGGTACACCCTGGACAGGTCACCAATTCCGGGCGCAGCCATTGCTAAGTAAAACAAAAAAACTCACCATCATTACTTCACATACAGCTATGCAGAGAGAGGGCTGCTGCAGATGGGCTATGATTAGCCCTGGCTGCGGTTAGCCTCGGCGGTCTGCTGGATGCCGAGGTCCTCTCAACTTTGGATTTTTTTTCTCTTTATATTATGCGTTAAACCACTAAATGGGCCATATAGTGACGCTTAAAAGTATAATGTTCTTCCCTCAAATGATCTTAAAATGTACTTTTATTGCACAAAAGCAACAGAAAATAACTTAACTTAATACTGTGAGCACTAACCTGGAACCTGCTGCTGCCATGGTGCATGCTGGGACAGCTGTCAATCTCAAGAACAGACAAGTCTGCTCTGATGCAACTCAGAAAACAGAGAGGGGCAAGAACTACATTGTCCGTTCTTGGTTTTGTGTTTTTGTGAATTGGAACAGTACTAGGGCTAAGGCTGATGATGTTTCAAAAACACATGAGAATGCACAAGTAAACAAATTTAGAAACTGCCAGAGTTGTTTTGGCTCGTTAGATCAGAAGGGACTAGCTAGGTGTGAGACGTCCATACGTTGCATTCAATGGTTTCGCGTAATTTAGTGGGTCAACCCGATGTTCTGTCATATGAGCATACTTCCTCAGACCAGCATCCCTATTGTCAATACGGATGCGCAAGATGTCAGATTGGCGTTTATCTCTTTAGTTTTGTACAAAAAACTTGACTTAAACTACCTTGACGGGCATGTATCCCTTTAGTTATGTACAAAAAACAAAAACAATTTAAGGTCAGATCACCATACACCTAAAACACCAAAAAGTAAGCAATTAAATATTTTTTTGTACACAACTAAAGGGATACATGCCCGTTATGGTAGTTTAAAGTCTATTTTTCGTACAAAATTAAAGGGATAAACATGTATTGACTATGGATATGCTGGTCTGACCGGGTATGCTCAGCTGACAGACCACCAGCTCTGGTGTTCCCATAGTATGCCTATCAGAGCAGAGTCCTTTTACCTGGATAAACATGCATCAGTGAACTGTTCCCACTGCCAATAAAAGCCAATCGTTCCCGGGTATAAACCGGTACACTGGCCAGTGTGAAAGGGGCATTATGCGGTGACTGAACACAGGTTGAATAAACTCTTTGTGAGATGGAAAACTCAAGTTTCCCATAACTCAAGTTTAGAAATACTTAACCTGCTTCTTGAAACAGACCCCTCGACAGCAAACCCAACTGGAGACACAACTGTGAAGCCATCTACAAGAAGAACAGAGCAGATTGTACTTCCTAAGGAAGCTTATGTCCTTGGCTGTTTGCAGCAAGATGCTACATATCTTCTATAAGTCTGTTGAGGAGAGTGATCTATTCTGCCATCATCTGCTGGGATAACAGTATTCGAAAAAAAATGACTTAAAGCTTAACAAGCTAATAAAGAAGGCCAGCTCTGTTCTGAGAACTCCTTTAGAACCTCTGTAGATTATTTCACAAAGAATTATTCTTCATGAAGTAGACAAAATTATGGACAACAACAGAGTCTCTTCAGTAAGAGGATTCTTCAGAACCGTTGCAAGACAGACCGCTTCAGAAGATCCTTGTTGCACACTAGAACACAGTGATGCCGAGACATGCAGTGGTTGTAAATTTCCTTTACATTCCTGTTTCTTCTGCAAATACAAAGAACATTCATATATCTGACATGCGTCACAATATGGCTGCTATGGACTGCTGAGCTTCTTCAACAACAGCTAGATTTGGACCCAAGGCTGCCCTAAACACCACCTGTTAAAAACAAATCCCTTTCTAGACTCATTTCACTCTCAGCCAGAATAATTACATCATAGTTTTATGAATGTTCAGCTTAGCATGAACAATGTAATATAGTGTGTCTTTATAAAACAAACTGAAATAGGAAAGAGAATAGAATCATATTTTAATGGAAGGGGGGGACCAGCAGCTGATCCCCCCACATCCTTACTGCCTACAGCTAACACCTACAACACCTGGATGAAAATGAAAAAAAAAATAACCGTACGAGTTACTGCAACATTTAATTTCCCTTTGGGATTAATAAAGTTTATCTTAATATGAATTAACTATAGTACACTAGAAAGTATGTCTTAATTTCTCAATCCAACTACTATTCTAATGATGTGGCTAATAAAGGCAAATGGGTTCCACTGAAAGAATAAAGTTGGCTCCTACATGAAAAAAAAAGAGGTTACTTGACCTTTATTATTATGCACCACTTTGTTTTACTAGATTAAATACTAACCTGTTATTGTATGGTAGATTAAGGGCAGAGTACAGCTGCGGCGTGCTCGGGGTTTGAACTCTGACCCTTTCTTCATGTAATCCAGGAGAAGCTGCATTCCCAGAGTTGCTTGGTGAGGGAGTAATGGGTAGACAGCCAGATACATTAGTTCCTCCCTCACTGGAGAAATCTGCACCCAGGAGAGATTTTATAAAAATGCTATAGACCATCAATGTTATCTTTAGTTTAATTTCTAGTTCATCCCTCAAACAGTGAAATGGAAGAAAGGACACAAATGAACAACCAGGAGGGAAGTCTCTGCCTGCACCTTCATCCAGCACCATTTCATATGCATATAGATGGAGGCATGTTTAACCCTTACTCACTGAAAGCGGTGCTCTCCCTCCTGTTTGATGCTCCTCGATTAAACACGGGTGATTCGCTTAGATACTGCTGCTTCAAAAACAAGTTCCTTTGTTGTTCAAAATCTCGTCGCTTGTTAAAAGACGTTAAAAGAAAAAAAAAACTTTAGCATCAGATGCCAGTTTTGGGTTCAACTCCAGAAGTGATGAGAACCAGTTTTACCTCGTGGCTCAGTCGAATTGCAGCGTCTGTGAAAGCTTTCCGTTCCCTTTCAAAAGTTCTCCTCTGATGAGTCAACTCTGCCCAGGACATCTGAAGACGTTCCCACTCTTCCAAAAAGTAAGAATCTGAGAGTTCAGATGGGACCGTGGAGACAAGGCTATCCTAGCAGAAGCAACAAGAGCAGGTGTTAGACTTAGATTTTATTTTGTCATTTTGTACACATAAATGTATATAAAAAGAATTTTGATTTAGTACAGCTCTCTAGACTTCTTCATTTTTAAAGTGCAGCCTTGATAAAGGTAAGCAGCAGTTATAACACTGATGGGGAAAAAAAAAAAAAAACACTGTGGTGAAAAAAAAGTGATGTAAACTGTGTTGTGTTACAGTGAGAGCTCATGTACACTTTGAAGAAAAAGGGACTGATACCTGTAGAAGCTGCTGCTGTAATCTGACCACCTCCTTACTTTCCTTCAGTTCCATCTCTAGCTGAGCCAGAAGCTTATCGTGGTCAGTACCAGCAGCAGTTTGATCTGTTGACAGTCATTTTATAGTCATTTTTTTACTTTTTGTTTCAAAGACTTATTGTGGTGTTTTCACCTTCAGAAAAGATGCCTCTTAGCTTCTGCTGCACCAGCCTCCAGCTCTGAACGACTCCTCCAGTCACGTGTTCACCAAGGACTGCTTCAGTTTCATCTAGCTTTTTGTCTCCATCATTGACATCCAGAAACTCCAGCCACTTCAAAAGGGTTTAGAGTAATGACACAAATTAAGCCCTATTTTTATCCCAATATTGATTTCTCGCTTTTAAAGTAGAATGGAGGGCAGATCTTTTTGTTTTTAAGCTCCTCCACTATGGAACCAACTCCCAGTGTTGATCTGTAGACAGAAACTCTTGACGTTAAGACTCTGCCTATAACTGTCAGAAATCAGCTCACTTGCACCATCAAGGGTTACAGCTTCCCAGCAAGCAGACATCAAGTACAGCAATATAGACATTTTGTTTTTCCAATTTTGTAATTAAACTTATGTTAGAGTGACTTTGGTTTTCTTGAATCACATTTTGATTTACAGGCACATCTAAAATCACAATCAAAATGTTATTGATCATTTTACAGTTGATTATTGCACAGTAATGTATAAACAACAGCCACATGTTAATTGTGGCTACAGCTAATGAAAACCAAAATGTAAGTTTTGCTAGGCATAAAGAAAAATATAATTTATTGAATGTATTGCCTATACTTTCATTGGGAAGATGGATTTGTTTTTGAGCAGTCATCGAGTATAAGCCTTGGTGCTTATATGCAGGACTCTGTACAGTCAAACAGACTATTCAGAGAGAGCTGTATGCAAGCAGATTCATAAAAAGGTGTCTGGAAGGACAAAAAAAAACAGTGTCTGAAAATGATGCACAAGCATCAGAAATAATCTTAAGAGTCATGTTTCACAGGCCATTTAAGAATGCATAAAGTTTATGTTGGGCTGGATTATCAATTTAAGTAACCATAGTATCACTGTGCTTGACTGCGTTGCAAACGTGCCTAAACTAATCCCAAAAGGAACATAGAAATGTATGGGCTATTCTCAAGGGACACCAAAGAAAGAAGTTAAAATGTAGGGTGCTATGAAAGCAACCAGGGCTTCCAGGGGAGCCAACTACCCAACTCCTCTATGACGGAACAATTCATGCAACAGAGCACATATTCAGCATGCACATGCATTTTAGTTGATATGACACGTTCCCTGTATGATGAAACATTCTAAATTAATGAAAAATAATACCCACCTCCACACATTTGCTTTAATTAATCAGATTGAACGGAACACTTCAAATGAATTTTGCGGGTTATAGTTTAATTTCTTTAATTGGTTGTATGACAAAAACTTAATGATTTATCTGGCCTGTTATGTGCATGACTTTAAAGCTTGAAATAAAAGTAGGTAACAATGTATAATCCAAATTACATAATTTGTTTAGTAAATGTATGTGTTATATTGACTGCTAACATTTCATGCCATTTTGATCTAATTAATCTAAAAATGGTCATCAATCTTAAAGGACCATTTCTGGATTTAACTACTGTAATAAAATTACTTCTCGAAAAAATACCACTTTATTTTGAGATATTCTGATGGGTCCAAATTACACTACATGGTTGGGTTGAACTGGAATGAACTGAACTGGTGTAAACTGAATTGGACCAGTTTTGGGTCTAGACATAAAAACAATGTTTGCTTGTTCTCTCACATCATGCTGAGATCAGAAATATTATTTTCTTTTAGCACTTAAAAACATTTCTCATTACCAGTAAACAAGGGGTTAAATTGAAAATTCTATTTCCAAAAACAGCAAGAATTAAATTTTTTAAAATGTATAAAATAAATAAATGTGTTCATCTTAATCTTATTTTACCTACCACATTGTACTTTAATTCAGTGCTGATAACTGCTTTACATCCAACCTAAATGCTCTTTAATTGTTGAAGTAACCTTTTCTAGAATGACCCAAAGATGTCAGTCAATCATCCCTTTTCTGACCTGCTCCATGTCGACTCTGAGTGCATGCAACAAAGTGGTGAGACTGTGGCGCAGCTTCATCGCCTCTCTCAGCTCTGCCTCTCTGCGGTCCAGCATCAGGAGCAGTGCAGCTTCTTCTCGCCTGTAAGGTGACAGAACTACAGTCTGAACGTTGCTGATGAATCCAGGCATACTACATAGAGCTTTAAAAGCTAGTCTACATACTTGGCAGTAGACCTGATTGGTTTCCTGGGTTGCTCTCTTTTCCCTCTGTTTCCAGGAGGGAGGTTTAAGACCTCTATAGCTGCATTAGAAAATAATTGCAAAACCATAAATACCGTTTTTAAATCATTATGTCTGAAATTATTCTGGAGTCTCACATGGTCCTCTGTCTCTTTGTCTGTCAGTGAGCTGTGAGAGCCTCTCCTTCAGTCTATTGCATTGCATCTCTCTGCGCTTTAGCTCCGCCTCCTGCCGGTTGCACTGCAGCTGCAGACGGGAGCACTGAGAAAGAAAAATGCTGATCAGAGGAGGCTCATTCAAGAAGTTATCCTGTTCCTCTAAAAAACTGTTGCCTTACTTTTGTACGCTCAGATCTTAGATCTCTTTGAAGCCTGGCCATATGCTCATCCATCTCCCCGAGCTGCTCCTGCAAGATGAGACATTTGCCTGCTCATATTCTTTGACTGAAAATAAATGCTAGGGCATGTTATTGGAATGTTGCTTTATACACAAACAGAATGATGACAAGATTATGGAGTAGAAATCTAGAAAGTAAACAAGTCCCCCCCCATGTTGGAGAAAACATGTTGGAAGCCTAAAACCATACGAGGCCAGGGTGAAGCGCCGCCTTTGAATGGAAAAGCAACACTTTACATGCAGCCAGAGCTACCGACTTCTGAGTTTAGCCTTAAAAGTATCCAATCTTGGCCCTCAGACCCCACTGTCCAATGTGCTTTAGGCACCTGCTGGACTTTATGACATGCTGAACATGTGGTGCAAACATTTGAACTGGTTTTGCTGAGACGGCGACCTATCCGAATCTTAAAGGACACTGTGCCTAGAAGATACGAGTCAAACTCAAAACATCTGCAGGACTCAAAACTGAACCAGGGGACTATAAGCTTGGATCTTTGGAACTGGAATTTTTCATGAGGAGACTTAACTTGGTTTTAAGTTGACCACTGGCACATAAAAAATATACAGGAGGCTGATCTACGATGTTGACAGACCTGGTTTGGATCAAAGCAATGCAACACCTATGCATATGCTGATCGAATGTCAGTCAAAGTCCAGAGCTAAATCCACCTCAGAATCTGTGGCAAAACTTAAAAATTGATATTTTCCTCTTGACTGAGCTTTCACTATTCTGCAAAGGAGACAAATCCCCAAACAACTCAATGTCTTGATGCGCAAAGCTAGAGAACACACACCAGAAAACACACACCAGTATTTTAAGTAAAAGGTTGGTAGCCTTGTGAGACCATCCTGATCTCGCAAGCTTTCAAGATTTCCCTCGCAGTTCAGTCTGGCTACTCTCCGTTGAAGAAAATTTGGAGCCGTTCACTAAACGAACGTCCAATCAGCGTTGGCTTTGAGGCGGGTTGAGGTGTGACGCAACGAGAAGCGCGACAGTTCAGTCTAAAGAACATGGCTGCTTCAGCCGATGAAACTAGCGTTAGCGTGGCTATCGAGCAAGTTTTATCGGAATTACAGAGTATTTCTTCACTGAAAGAAGGGCAAAACAGTGCTCTGGAGGCTTTTCTCAGAGGAAAAGATGTTTTTGCTCTTCTCCCGACTGGTTTCGGCAAGAGTAGCCTGGCTGTTAGTACGTCATATGCTTCGTTGATCTGATTGGTTTATTTGGCCCGTCTATCACCAACATAGGCCAATCAGCTAACCAGTATTTTCGCCCCTTCCCAAAATTACTTCAACGGAAGGTTTCCAGATGAATATGCTGAGCAAATCCATCTGGCGGAGTCAGGTTAGAAGGTTGGAACTTACATCACCAAATACAAACATGCACCACAGTTTTCAGAAACTATGCTTTTTTTCCCCCTCCATTTCAACTTTTACAACAGTAAAGATTGTGGAATGACAAAAAACCCCAAAATTAACAGGTTTTGCAAAACACAAAGTTGGTATCTAGTTGATCATTTTTTTTACCCACCCTGAGGGAGTCTGCCTGGTCTTTACTGTCCTGTCCGTTAGACAACCAGGAGGTGCTTGGAGAGGAGCTTGGATCTCTCAGAAAAAATAGACCTCCTGCTTGTTTTAAACCAAAACATGAAAAAGAGAAAGTTGAACATTTGATAATATTTAGTGTAGATAAAGAGAATAAGATTATCCATTTGGCACATAGAATGAAAAATAAGTAATAGCTTATTTTACCATTCTATGTGAATTACAGGTTTGAATAATAAAAATGCGAGCCTAACCGGAACATTCCTGCTTTCCACTGAGTTTATTCTGGCTGATATAGCTGTACGCCATCTAAATCCAAAAATAAAACACACAATCATAAACATGATTTTAAACACATAAAACCTATAAACCCAGCCAAGTGATCAAAAAAATACAACCACATACTTTTTATGTTGATTTACCCCGTGTGTATTTCTAGTCATTAGCAGTCAGACTTGTTCAGCTGACAGCTGCTGCTTCTTTTATTTCCAGGTGACAGCGCTTCTGCTGATTACTGACAATGGACGGCCCCTAAGTGAGCCAGGTTTGGATTTAATTGAGCAAACAATTTCCTAAAAAGGTTCCAGTTAACATTTGGACAACCACGTCTCATTTTGAGTTATTCTTACTTATTTTTGTCCAAAATATACAGTGGTTAAATGTACACTCAGTGGTGGCCGACGTACTCAATAGTAATACTTGTGTTAAGAACTTCAGCATAAAAATGCCTCAAAAAGTGAAAGCTATTGTGATTATTTAAAAAGGAACCAAAAAAGAAAACAGGAGTATCATGACTCTCCTCACCCTTTGAATTTTACTTTAGATAAGCTACTGATCCTTCAAACTGCTCCTAAAAGACGGCCCCCTTCTGTAAATGGCGTCAGTGTTTTGACTCCAGTGCAGTTTATTTTTTCCGATGAGCACCCAAGTTTGTTCCAGCCCACAATTCAATGATAATTTTTTGGATATTACACAAACAAACTGCCCACAAATTTAATTGGGGACAAAAAAAACATCCAATTCCTATAAACAAAATCTCTGAAATGTCCAGCAAATGACCCTCATAACGAGCCAGTTGGCTCTGTGAGTCAGCATTTTCCACTGTGTGTGAAGCGCTGAAACAGCTTCAACTTGGGAGATTCACATGAAATCAGCATGTGGCATCAGCTGAACTCCCTCACAGGGTAAGCCCACCACATATATAGGAAACTCCCATCCTTTTTCTGGAATCACTTTATCAGATTGCTCAGTCCAATTTAGCCTTTTTCCAAAACCTTGTGAGGGAGTACTAGTGTTCAGCTTAAAAAAACACGTAGGAATGACAGATACATAGATATACTGTATAAACAAACATCCTTTGTATTTGGATGGATAGACATAGACTTTGAAAATACTTTAGTCATATTCCATTCTTCCCCAAACCATCAGGAATACTGCTTTAAAGCTTTATTTTATTAGACAGTAATCAGGACGCAATCCATTTTGCTTGTATACATTTTTATTTATTTCCTTCCATACAAACATGATGCATTTATCACAAATCAAGCTGACAGGTAAGAGTTATTCTTTATGCAGATTTATGGGATGTGAGAATATTAAACACATTTAATCCAGCAGTTTGCCTTCACAAAAAAAGATCCAATTCACAATTAAATGACATCCACTTTTCAAATCTACATCCAACTTAAAAATAACTTCACACAAATTACATAAGTGGAAAAGCACCAAATTAAACGCACCTTTTAATTAAATACTCACTTCCTGTCTTTGAAAAAGCAGTCAGCAATTATAAAGTAATGCTTTAACAATAGTTTTTGATACACTTTTTTTTTTTTATATATATATGTATATAAAGTTAGATGCAGCAATTCATCAGTGTCTGAAAAGACAGATTTCTTCATCAGCAGGAAAGATTTTTGGTTGATTGATGCTTGATTCCAGCGTGAAAAAAAAAACATTAAATACAAACATAACCCAAGGATTCCAACACAGACACAAGGATTTGTGCAATAAGTTAAGGTTGTTACCACTAATCCACATAGTGTAAGGCCATCATGTGTTTTTACCTTAAATAGAAAGATTCAACATAAAGAAGGAGAAACTTAAAAGAGTCTAAAATATAGCTATAGATAGGTGAGTTAAAGTAACAAGAAAATGAAAGATTAACCCATCGCTTGCTCCAAGATAAAGCCTGTGTCATGCCTTAGTACCTAAGGTCCACAAAACCAGTTTATTTTCCGCTTATATACACAAACATTGAAAAAGGCACCAGTTTAGTTTGTTGGCCAACAATATTAGTAGTTTTTTTTGTTTTTGTTGTTGTGTTTCACAGAGATAAATACAAAAGTGTGGATGGAAGATAAGCTATTATAAATCCATGTTTGATTATCCTTCCACCTGCCCTTCACAACACGACTGAAAATAACAAACAGCGGTAACAGTCTGTAAATAGATGCCGGACATGTTGGGCACTTAGGCAAACCCAGATTAATCATTAGTCACGTTAGTGTCAGGAACGTCTTCTGCTTGCTTGTTGAGTAGTTTGGCCATGCTTTCACGTAACAGATGGAGGATAGGATACCATTAGTTTTGGCAAACAAGATGGAAATCGGCTCTCCCTCCCTTCCCATGAGGAGCTGCAGGCAGGTTTACCATGAAGTCGATGAGAAGAGAAGTGAAGCTTCAACGGACAGGTCCAGAAAATCCTTCATGTTCCTTCTGCTGCTAAGAGAGAACAGAGACCACATAAAAAGATTGATTCATCTTATAGGAAGTTCATACAACCCTTAGTCCTTCCTTATCCGTCCTGCATTGCATCCCGGCACAAAGACCTTTGCTGCATGCCCCCCTTCCCCTATTTTCTGCCTGTCTTCTGTTAAATAAGCACCAACACCACAAAAACTGTATTCCAGTCTCATTTAGTCATGAACCCTTTTTTGCCAAAACAGGGCAAAACCCTTCCATCTGAAAAAAAAAATTATGTTTTATTTGGAACCTGCACACATAACTCTCTAGACAGCAGGTTGGACATTTCCAGCACCCATTGCTGCTAGAGCAAATTACAAAACTTTGAACCAACATGTCTTCACACTTTCCACATATACAGCCCTAATCTGGCAAGAGGGAAGCGGTTTGTAAGATTTCCTGTTTTGTATGACATTGCACACGAGCAAAAAAATATGATAGTACAGAACTGCTAAACAACTTTATTTGATAAACAGTTATAACTCATAAACTAATGTGCATGTATTCAGATGTATTATTGGGAGGATTTTATTGTTGTCATAGAAAGCAAGGTGGAAACACTGATGTTCCTCCTGAGCGTCAGGGCAATAAACATCTGCAAAAACATGCACAGAAAAAAACTTCATGATTTGAAAATAAATAAAATACGCACTGGCAAAGTAAAGTTGGTAGCTTGCACAAATTTGTGTTTTTTTCTTTCATTACCACCAACAATTTTACTTAAAAAGAATCTTTTAGAGATACTGCTCAATTGTCACCTTTATTGGTAAATTTGCTTAGTCATGGCAACCGAAACACTTTAAATCCTAAATAAACTTTTCAAATGTGATCCGATTAGACAGTCTTGAATATCTTAAAGTAGATTTACTTTACTTATATAATTCGTCTTGTGAAATTCAAACTCTTTACAGACAAACCAATATGTAGTTCATTATTTTGACTTCCTTTTTTGTGATTATGGATACAGCTGATGATGGCACAAGATTTATAAAATCTAAAAAAAGAAAAAAAAACAAGATCAGTATTGAAATAATGTTATTTCCATTTTATACCTCAAACCCTCATAAGTTAAATTGTTAACTTGATAAAAGTCTTACTGACATTCACCTAGACTCTTTGACAAGGATGGTGATTAACAGACAGATGAACTAATAGGTTACTGTGAACGCAGCTGACTTTTCACAAGGGGCTGGTTTCAAGCTTAACAATGAAATGTTAAGTGTAAGTGATAAAGTGAGAAAGAAAAGGTGTACAAGAAACAGGGATAATCTGAAATTATCAAAATTCTTTCAAGAGTTTAAGGGAAATTTACAAGGTAAAAATGAATTTGGAGTCAGAGATTTAACAGCAAACACACTCAGATGTTCACAGAACAAATTCTGGGTCCTGAAACTCAGATGTTAGCAGCGTCCTAAATGGTTTAAGGGGGGGGGGGGGGATAACTAGACTGCTGGTCAGTTGTACAAATTGCAAAGTTGGCACTTCTTTTGGAAATCAAGCTCCAAAAGTCAGGAAGGCTCGAAGTCCATCATGAACAGTCAGAGATGGCTGGCCTGACATGACATCTGCTGGTGGTGGTTCACTGGGTTTTCCGAAACCCATAATCAACATGGTCATCCACCAGGACATTTTGGACCATCATCAACCTGTTTGATTGGCCACACAGAAATCTATCTAGAATCTATGCAGCTGTTAAGATGAAAATGATAAACAGCACACTTAACCTCAAGGTCACCATCAAAGCAAGCTATTGCTAGGAGGACTAAGTATTAAATACCATTCTTACACTGAACAGCAGATCTATTGTATTGTGGACTTACTTTCAGTAAGCCGAAATGTCCATTCTAACGTTCAGCTTGCATTGGACCAATGCAATTTTGAAACTGAAATGTCATTATGTAGTTAGCTTTAAGCTAGAAGCAAGTAGTCAGAGCTGTGAACACCTAACAGTTTATAGATGAACTGTAAAGCTTAAACAATTTAAACAATCATCAGCTAATTTAATAATCGATAAAGACTCCAAAACATGTCTTTACTTTATCTGAAAGACTCGCCCACTCAAAGCAGTTAATATACCAAAACTGCAGAAAATACATAAATATTTTTCATTCAAAATGGAAAACCCTTTTTGTCCATTAATATGCTCGACTCATAAGTCTTTAAAAGACACAGTTTTAGTTTCACTTGGTTTAAATTTTGCTTAAAATCTTCTTAAGGAACCTTTCACCATCTGATTCTTAATTGATTAACTGAAAAAAAAGAAATAGAGAGATTAATAGGTGTGCAAAATAGTTATTAGTTGCAGCCCTGATAACCTGCACTCTCTCCTTAGGCATCACGCTCAGGAAGCACATCTCTGTGATATGATCTATGTTGGAGTTTTGCATTTAAAATCGAACCGTAGAAATAAACTAACCACACCGTTCTATTGTAATTTATTGAGAAGTACCTGCAAACAGCTGATAGTTTAGCAGCCACACAGCAGCAATCCAGCAATTGAATCAGTCCATCATTTAATAAATATATAACGTATAATAAAAATGTTATTAAATGATCTGTTTTGATTGTTACTTTCAGTTTTTTTTCTTTTTTTTTTTTTTTTAACAGTGTCCTGTCTGGCAATGTGGCAATAAGAATAATTGTCCTGATGCCAAAAAGAGCCCAACAGATTTTGCTTTCACAAGTGGAGCATTACGGCTATCGCCATAGTGTTCCGCTTGATTTATGCATATAAATAGCTTCATTATAATTATGCAGAGTGTTTTACAGATTATATGGACACTACAATGTAAGTAGAACAGGAAAGGAAAAACAGAAAAAAAGGAGAAAAGAAGAAAGAAGATAAAAGGGAGATAACGATAAAACGTCTTCAGTCTGCTTCGTCGCCTGCAAAAAGATAGCACAAACCAAAAAATCACAACCAACGGACATGGTACAAGACATACAATAAAGTAACACCTGGATACTATTGCTGAAGTATAAGTAGTATGATTTATTTTGACACGTTTACTGTGGTAGCTGAAGATAAGAATATTGGCTTTCTGTATGGAAGTGAATCAGGAGCCAAGCACCTGTAGTTGTTTGTGAGAGTACACTTGTGCATGTAAAGTTTATTCAAAGGAAAAATGCTCAATAGTGGTTGTGAAGAGCCGAAGACGTGCCCCTCCAAAGCACAGAGGCGAGCGCTGGGGGACCCAAAGCCCCAGACACCCAAAGGGACCCCAACAGCAAAGGGCCCAACCCAGGAATTCCGACCCCCACCAAGGGAGGAGAAGAGACAAATTCCCCAGCCACCGCAATGCCGGAGCCCGCGGGAGCAGCGGGGCTGATCGTAACTGTCAGTTATATTGCTTACTGTCAACCTTTGTGGTTGGACTACGAAGCATAAACCCTGCGCTCCACCTGTAAACTAGTTTTATGGATAATGTACAAACAGAATGTGAAGGTGACATTTAGGTCCACATTGGTCCTAATGAAGACTTTGTCAAGGCTTCTTACCTCAGAACAGTGAGCAAGACTTTGGGGGTCTGAAGGGATTATCGCTGGAGGGGACCCCCATGAGGAGCGGGTCCTTGGATGCATTCTGCAGGCAGAAGTTTTTCAGGTCAGCAGCAGCCTGGGATACCTGCAGAGCCCAACATATGGCGTGGGTGTGAAAACATGAACAGCATAAACATCCACTCAGTCTCAAAGGGCTCTGCCCATTTTCTCATTTTCATACACAGACTAACTGGCTCTCTGTGGGTTTGATATTTCTTTTGCATAATATTTGCAAGCAATGGAGCCACCGGACAGCAGTGGTTGTATCTACTATGTTTGATAGCCTCTATGTTCACTTATTTCCCTCAGATAAAACAGAGTTTGACATTTATACACATTTCACTTTAAAGTAGATTGTAAACAAAGCAGATTGGAAACTTTATAAGTTACTGTTTTAAAGCAGTTCAATAGATCTATTTTTAACATAATCCCCTTTTTTCCACCTAAACTAACTTTCTACGCCTCGAAAGAAAAGCTTCCGTGTTTGTCTGGATCGGTTCGTACCTTGATCCTCCGGGTACTGGCCTCTAACCGGAGCTGCTTCACGGCCCTCTGGGCGATGATTAAGTTGCTGCTGGCGTTGTTATTGGACATAACGGCGGCTCTCGGTGTAAGAACAGAAAAACAGCTAACTAAAGTTTGATGGCAGCCACAGCGGAAACGTGACCTTAGTTCTCAGAACCCCTGACTAAACTGGGAAACGGCTCCGACACCTCGCCCCGCCCCTACTGCGATATCCCATCACCCCTATTGGCTTAAACGTCCGTCAATCAAACTGCCTCGAGCCCTCCTCCTTACCGTTCCAAAGGAAACGTCTATAATAATATGGGCCTTTATTTTAAGTTTCCTAGACAGCAAACAGGGGAAAACGTGACCTTCGCTAGTTGTTTGCCACCTCATTTAACTTTACACGCTTTCAAAGAAATCCTTTTTTTCATCATTTATGTAATATGGTTCACATTTCATCTTAAAAGGGCAAACAAATTTGAAACTTGCAAAGTTTTAGCAAGAAGGATGCACCAGACATGTGCAACAATTGACAACCTAATCAAGTAATTGCATATTCTTCAACATAAACCACTTTAAGATCCTTCCTTCCTTCCTTCCTTCCTTCCTTCCTTCCTTCCTTCCTTCCTTCCTTCCTTCCTTCCTTCCTTCCTTCCTTCCTTCCTTCCTTAAAAAAATCTACAGTCGCTGTTATTGTATTAGTTTAAAGGTATAGTGGAGGATCTTCTATTTCCGGGTGGATCATCAAAATAAGTAGTCCTTCTAATCGTCAATCATTCTGGTGATGTGTTTACAAAAGTCCGTCCTAAGTGCTCGTCCCCATTTTCACTTACCGGTGGTTAAGCCCTGGTGTGTTGACCAGCATTGCTGCCAGTAAAACGTTAATGACATATAGTGTATTTGATAATGCATAATATCCAAATTTACTTATCTGTTAATCAATAGGTTTGAAGTATGTTTTTTACAAGAGAGAAAAGGTGCAATTGACGTTTGCAAGAACTGTACGATTTATGTCCGTTAAGATTTAACTTTGCAAGTTAAAAAGTAAAAAAAAGTTATTTGCCAATAAAGTAGATTGCATCTAGTCTTTGACTTTGCAGCAACTCTAAACTCTGATGAAACATAGTGTGGAAAGGACTAATTTACGAAAAGAAACTTGCAGCAGAACTGAGCCATCTGCCACAGCCAACATTGAGTAGATTTGTTGCATGAGCGAAACCTATGACCATCTCTTTGAAATGCATGTCAAGTAAAGGGTACCAATGTACCGACTTGCAAGCATGTGATTACAAACATAATAGATATAATAGATGGGACAATCTATAGGGGATGAGGTCAACTTTAAGCATAAAACTGACGCCTTAAATCCAAATGGTGAAAAAAAAAATCACGTCCTTCAGGTTAATTTTAGTAAGATTATGATTTTGATCATAATCGTACTAAAGATTATGATCAAGCTCTTAATAAAGATCATCCTTCCTTCCTTCCTTCCTTCCTTCCTTCCTTCCTTCCTTCCTTCCTTCCTTCCTTCCTTCCTTCCTTCCTTCCTTCCTTCCTTCCTTCCTTCCTTCCTTCCTTCCTTCCTTCCTTCCTTCCTTCCTTCCATCCATCTTGACATAATAAGCATTTTTTTTTAGATCATTTTGCGATGATTCTTTGTTTTATCTGCATTCAATAACAACAAAATACAACCAATGATATCTGTTCGAACCCCCACATAAGTACGGTGGCCTAGAAGTGCAAACCAACAATACAAAATCTGAAACAATACAAAATCTGAAATTTCATTAACAAACAGAACGATTTCATGTCAAAGCCGATTGAAACCTACGTTAAAGGAAACTAGATTGAATGGCCAAATTTAAATTTTTTCAAAACATGTTTTTGTCTGTTCATCAGAGATCCATTTGGGCTTAGGCTTTTATGGGTGCATTTCAAATGTTCAAGATGTGATGAATGGTTGGATGAAACTTTTTGAACAATTAGAAATTTAAAGTATGGCAAAGATATACAATATTATGTAAAAAAAAAAAAAAAAAAAAGCATGAAGCTGAAATATGCTTCATATACAAAAACACCTTATACTCTTAACCAGAATTAAAATTTTATATACTTTACTCATTCTCCTTTCAGATTGTCTATTTTTATTGTTTTTAGAATACATGGTATTTGCAAGACAGCTCCTAAATCAAACAGATTCTTCTCTGACTGGCTTGGTACCATTTTGTATCAAGACCATATTAAGCTTCTTTAATAGGACCTTTAGTGATTGAAAAAATACAACCAACAGCAGTGGAATATGTATTTTATTGGTAGGCCCTAAAACATGACAAGTCTAGGATCCATATGGATCATGCTTATTCCTGGTGTCTTCCCGGGAGTGAGTGTGATCCATATACAACCTGCCATAAAACATAAATCATGGAATGTGAAACGTATTCATGGCACATTTTAGCCCGATGTTGTCAAAATCTTGAGACGTTTGAGGTTTGGGGTTCCCTACAGCCTTTTGTTTCTGTCATCCTGCTCTTTTCTGTGTTTGTGCTCCTTGTACCTGATGTCTTTTTTGATTCAGTCAGTAAAATCCTGCATTTTCCATGCCTGTCAGCAGTTGGCCCCACAGAAAATCTTTATAAATATGAAATCTATTGAATACATATCCTACCCAGCCTAGCTAGACAAACACAAACCAAGCACTTGAAATTGAAATATAAACATCTCTTTATCTAAATGTGTAAAACTTCTACTTTACAAGTTTAACGAGTTATAAAGAAAAACAAAAATCCGTCTTTCCCTATAGAGCCAAGTAGTTACATGACAGAAATGATCACAATCCAAATATACCCCATCATGGTTTTCATTTCAAATCCTAGATATTCCAGGTTTTCAATATCTGTCCTTGTAGCTCATGATCTCTACTTGTTTTCACATTTAAAAAGATTGGTAGAGCGATTAATGTAGCCCTTCTACATATAGCATTTTTTTCTTTTTACCTTTTTCTTTAATTGTTAGAATATATATAGCTTTAGAATAATGCAACTTAATCAATATCTGTTTAAATAACCTTTAGACAATTAATAGGAAAATTGTGATTGTTTGTGTCACAAACTGCCAACCGAAGTGTTTTGTTATTACTTTGATATTTTTCAAACAATACATTATTTTATTCAATTAACAATTCAAAGACAGTGGTGTTTTACAGCTTGCAGTGAGTTTATTTGGCCACTAAGTGATGCTAAAAGTCAATAAATAGCTAGATTTGCATTCACTTGATCCATGTTTTTTGTTTTTGGTGCACAAAACGAGGAGAAAAAGGCTAAATAATTTTAAAAATGCCCATTTTATGATTTAAATGTTCTGAAATAACAAATTAAAAAACAATAATAAGAATAACTGCTGGGTATTAAACAATAAAGAATGTAAAAGTGTCATAACCTGGGTACTTGAGTGTGCAAGACCTTCTTGAATAAGAAACTCAAAGTGCTGTGGATCATGACAAAATTTAAACAGTTTTACATTACAGTCAGGCAGGGATACAAGTACTTTGTTACTTAACTGTTTGTCTCAAAGAATGAAAAAAAAAAAGACAAAATAAAAAGTGTGTACTGTCACTGATTTGGGTTTTTTTTGTTTTGTTTTTGAATGTCGCAAATGTTTATTTCTGAATTCTGAGTTGTTATATTGGTGTAACTGGTGAAAATAAACAAATGAGATGGGTATATATTTGTTTTTTTTTATTAAGTTGCCTAATAATTCTGCACAGTAATATTTACCTGCACACACAAACAACCTCATTAAAAAATGGCCAAATCTAAATAAAAAAAACACATCAACTTCCAAAAATATGAAACTTTGATATGAAGGACTCTTTTGGGTTAATTGAGAACATAGTTGTGGCCCAATAATAAAAATAATCCTAAAAAATACAACTTGCCTAATTCTGCACACAGTGTATTACGAGCAGCGATCAGCCTCTCACGACCACCTCCCGATCAGGAAGCGTGAGGTCGAGACCGTTGTGGGCAGATCGCTCAGGGCGCATGCGCAAAGAAGGATTCTTCTTTTTATTTTTCCATTCAGATGTAAACACAGCAGCATGCCAGGGATGCAATGAGTGAAATGCAATTCTGTTAGTAAAACTGACAGAACATAGTAGCCACATTTGCTCAGCCATGTCTTTTTTCCCAAATACATCATCGCCTTTTCTTTTTAGGGCTTTCAGCACAAAATTGTACAAATTGCCAAGGCAGCGCATTTCACTCTGGTGAGCTTAATATCCTCCTTCTATTTGTTTGGCTTCCGGATAGACGAGTCAGAGCAGCTCCATCTCACTGCGGCGCTGAGTCTGACGTGGTTTTAGTCGTACCATGTGAGCAGGTAGATCGCATGAGAGCATCGGGCCGAACATAAATCGTGAGCTGTGAACTCACAGGGCCAGTTCTATCAAAGGTTTGCGTGTATAAAAACGTGAGCTATTTCACTGCGCACGCTAAAAAATGTACAAACTGATCTATCAACAGCGTGCTAAGAGGATTTGGTCTTTAAAACGTGCTAAATAGCGCCTCTTATCCATTTAGTACTTTTTCTGCAATGAATATGCAATATGGGGCATTTATACGCAAAAGTGCGTCTTGTGGGAGGAGAACATGTAAATATATTAATTTAGCACTCGCAAAGTGATTTATCAAACCTGAAAGCAATTTTGCTAACGGTATCTGACTCTATATTTAACACGTTTCAAAAGAAGGTGCAAATGGTCTGTATAAGTAATTGCGCACACATGGCAGCGGTTATTGTCGCAAGAAGGAGACATCGAAATGAAGCAAGGAGACGCAGAGAACGCATTTTTTCACTCCGTGTGAATATTTTTGGAATGAACAAGGAAACGATCATCAAAACATATCGTTTCTCCAGCATTGCCATTTTGGAGCTGTTGGGGGAACTCAGAATGGATTTGGAGCCAGCCACAAGGAGGACTCACGCAATACCAGATATCACAAAACTCCTTGCAACATTGCACTTTTTTGCATCTGGGTCATCCCAGCGTACGGTTGCAGCGAGAGCTGGGATCTCCCAATCTAGTTTTTCAGAAGTGCTGTCCGACGTTCTAAATGCCACGTCGCCCTGACGCCCTACTGGAGAACCCCGACCTCCCCCCTGCGCCTGTGGAGCAACATGCCAATGCTGCGGGGATGCGTATGCTCAGTCATC